TAATAATATTCTAAGATAATAATTAATAAATAATAAATAATAAAATAATAAACTAATAATTAATTCGTTCTATAATAATATACTAATTAGGAAGCCATTACAAAACATGCAGGTGAATACATGTGTAGGACATGTACCACTCTGTTAGGTTTATCTCGAGGATAGATTAGCTTAAGTTAGTAAGTTCTAAGATAGGATGCAAATTCCTATGGGTAGATGCAAAATTCACAACCATATGGTAAGTAATACCTACAGGTTAGAGTTATGATAGAGATAGTTGGAACCAGATAGTTTAAATGGGTACCCCCCTAGTTGGGGTGCAGGTACGGCAGATAGTATAAAACCTTCGGGTGGACTACTTAAATTAGATACTCAAAAAGTGCATGTGTAGCTTGATGTATTATCATTGTAACTACATTATAAAACTCTATTTACATTCTAATAAAACATTCTCTAGGCCAAAGAGATCCTCTTAATAACAAAAAAAAAAAAAAAGAATCTTCTTTAGTATAGCTGGGCAATATAAAAATGTTATAAGATTATAATATAAAAAAACTCTAACCCTAACTCTAAGCTAACTTCAATATATACTATAAGCTTACCCTAACTCTAACTATTTTCAAATTTGCTTAAATTAAGTTAAATAGTTATTTACTTATATTATAATTTTATAATAATTCTATATTGCCCAGTTATACTAAAGATCAACCTAAATACAGTATATAGTAAAACTTTTATAATTATTAAGCTATAAATCTGTGTGATATACAGAAAAAATTTAATATAAAATAAAATAAAGGCAAAAATAAAATAGAAACCCGTCACTATGCGACCCTTATATGATCGACCAATTATCTTAGAGATTGGCGATCTTATAAATAATTGTTTTTGTTTTTTTTTTAAATATATATATTTTTTTAATACAAATATATTTTTTTTAGAGCCGTCGCTAGAGTTGTTGCAGCCGTTATCGCAGCCGTCGTTGGAGCCATCGTTGGAGCCGTAGTTGGAGCCTCAGAACTGTCTTGAAGTTGCGTAGATTTCTCATTACTTTGGTAATTCAGTAGATTTTTTTCCATTTTCTTTCGTATTTTTTTCGTAGTTTTCGTCATCATTTTTTTCTCATATTTTTTGTGGGCTCTTCATTGTTGGAGCCTCAGAACTGTCTGTCTTGAAGTTGCATGGATTTCTCGTTATTTGGTGATTTGGGTAGGTTTTTTTTGTATTTTCTTCGTAGTTTTTGTCTCTTCGTCGTTGGAGCCTCAGAACTGTCTTGAAGTCGCATGGATTTCTCGTTACCTTGGTGATTCGGTAGGTTTTTTTCCATTAAGTTCTTTCGTATTTTTTTCGTAGTTTTCGTTATCATCTTTTCTCAATTTTTTGTAGGCTCTTCGTTGTTTTTAGTGGTTCATTCAGAGCTCTTCGTCGTTTTTTTGTGGGTTCTTCCAGTAAATTCGTCATTTCTTGGTATTAATCTTCGTTGGTTTTCGCTAGATTTGTCGTCAGTTTTATTCGGTAAATTCGTCGGTTTTCTTCAGTAAATTCATCGTTTTTCAGTGAGTAGGTTCACCATTTTTAGTGGAGTTTTCTTTGTCGTTTTTCGGTAGGTTCTTCTATGAATTCTTTGTTGTTTCTTCCAGTAGGTTTTTTTTTTATTTGTGTTCTAACGTGTTTTTGTCTCAGTACGTAGGTCTTCGTATTATTCTTTGGTTTCACCATCTTTGTCACTTTATTCTTTGCCATCTTTGTCACTTATTCTTTAGTACCATTTTTGTCTTTATTCTTGTCCATATTTTTGCTATTTCTGTTCTGTTTTCTTGTTTTTCTCAACCTGTTTTCTTGTGTCTATTTCATTAGTTCTAAAAAAAAACAATAAATTAAATAAAAAAATGAAAAAATCGATTAAATTAAATTAAAAAAAACCTCTAATAAATTAAATAAATTAAAAAAACTCCTAATAAGTTAAATTAAATAAAAAAAGAAACGATAAATTAAATAAAAAATTAACAAAAAAAATAATTTAGAGCTTGGAAACCGGTTTATTTTTATATGTTAAACCCGGTTTTAACGCTCTTTTTTTAATAAATTTTTACAAGTGTATGTAATCGACCAATCAAATTCGATCACATGCATTACATGCTCGTGTCAAGCACATGATGCACATGATAGAATTTGATTGGTCGATCACGGGGTCATCATAAAATAACACCCTAAAATAAAAATTTAAATCTAAAGCAAATTAATTTAAATAATTTTATTTCTAATATAGATTATAATTTGGTTTTGTTGGGTGTGGCAGCTTAGTAAAGTGGTCAAGTCGTCACCCTCTCCAAGTAGCAGGTCTAGAGTTCAAATCCCACAGACAACGAAAGTTTGAAAAATAGGCTTGCGTTATGGTAACAGATCTTCATTAAGTTGGGGCTTAGATTAACCTGTAA